ACAAGAACGAGAGAAGACCTTACCTTGCCTCAATGGTCAGCAACGTCAAAGAAGCAGAAAAATGGCGTGTGCAAATCATCAGAGAGATCTCAAAAAAGGTTTCGCAAATCCAGAACGGTTAGTCTGTTAAGACTTTTTGTACGAGTAGAATTATATTCCTGCGAATACTATACTGTTCTGACGAATTCATCAGTTTAACGAATGCTATGTTTATAGTCGGCAGAAATTCACGAGGTTCAATGTTCGAAAAATCCTAATAAAATGAAACAACAACAAAAATATAAATTCACGATAATAAATCAAAATTCCCTAGAATATATCAGTTTTTCGAGCTTTTCTTCCCGCACATGGCGGCCCGGCTTAAAATTTTCCAACTCTTAATCTACGGAAAGAAAATTGAATATCAAAAGAGGAACGTTTCGCTGTAATATTATATACAGTAATCGGAAAGAAACGAGCGATGGTTCACAAGTGCCCCATTTGTTCCCAGAAACTTCGCTAGAAAAAAATGCCCAAGAAGGGAATGGGCCTGATACAGTATTTTAATGAAAAACGTGTCTCCTTCGTCACAAAATTTTAATTTTTTTTACCACTCTCCTATTTGAGACTAGGATTTTTTTCCTGATCGACTAATGGGAGTTGAAGATCCCGATCTTGTTTGACTGCGATATACAGTATAATACTGTATATTTTGGAAGTATCCCTTGCTTGACTTAATTTCAATCATTCCCGCAGCTGGATTGGGCGAATTCAAAATCCGCGACTTGAACGACGAGATAAACAAGCTCTTGAGAGAAAAGCGGCATTGGGAAATCCGGATCGTGGAGCTGGGAGGTCCCAACTACCGCCGTTTCGGTCCGCGAATGCTGGACCACGAAGGACGCGAAGTACCCGGAAACCGTGGCTACAAGTACTTCGGTGCAGCTCGGGACCTTCCCGGGGTTCGCGAGTTGTTTGAACAAGAACCTCCGCCACCACCGAGAAAAACCCGAGCGGACTTGATGAAGGAAGTGGACGCGGATTACTACGGGTACCGAGATGACGACGATGGGGTTCTGGTTCCCTTGGAACGCGAGGCTGAGATGAAAGCCGTGCAAGCCGTTATGGAGGAGTGGAAGGCCAAGGGAGTGGAAGTTCGTGACAAGCTGGAATTTGATCCGGAAAGAGAAATGGATATCGGAGAGGGCAGAACGATTGTGCATGTACTTGTGCCAACTCAAAAAGATATCGAGCTGGGTTTGCTGAATAGAAGAAAGCGTGAATTGCTCGCGGAATATGTTGATGATGATCTTGATGACGATGATGGAGGAGGTGGTGATGATCAAGAAGAAGCAGGGGAGAAAACGATTGTCAGTGATGCGAATATGGAAGAAGCATAAAATAAATCGATTTTGTAAACTTCATGGCGTGTTGCTTGATGCATATACGGAAATCAGAACTCCAATTAATTTGTGTTCACGTGCAAAATAAACCCAGTAAGACTCATTCATCATCGTTCGCTATTGCAAGTGTAATGTAGTACATGCGTGTTCGTCTGCCGGTATTGCACCTGGATTTCTTACGCTGTTACTCCAAGAAAAATTGTCAATTGTACCGCCTGACGAATTTGTGGAAGATCTTCACCCTCTGCTGAGGTTATCTCATACAAAAGCTTTCTAATTATGTTGCATGATTTAAATTAGGAAATGGAAGTACTGTACAAAATAGTCGTACATAATGAAAGAAATAACTTCGATGGCTGGTTCTTCGTGTTTCGTATGGCTGGGCCGGATGGATGGTAGTTCGTGCCTAAGGAGGGTCATCTCTGGGCAGTGTTGCTACATGGGAACGTATTTCCGGTGATTCTATCCGTTTGCTTGTGTAGATGTCACTTTCGCATGAGATACACTTGACAGGGTGATCATTTTTGAAGCGACAAGTGAGGGAAGAAACTGTACAACATGTCGTACCTTGTATGAATGCGTCAATTAATGTGCCCATAAGAAAACACCATGAATGGAAAGTTAAGCAGCAAAACATAAATAAAAAATTGCTGATGAATCACACAGGGGTAATAAAGTTTTGTCACAGGGACTTACGTTTTTGACGCCACTTCGCAATCTTCGTGATTTAAAGTAATGTTTGCATTTTGAGGTGGATTAAACCATTTTCACATCAATATTGTAAAGTTTGGTTTAAGATAAAAATTAATGGAACCCATCGCCTATTTTAATTACGAAAAGCAACTTTCGATTTGAATAATGCATGAACATTCGGTCGGAGAAGCAGAGCAGCAGAATAATAGATATATATTGTAGTACAATAAATAAATACTCTATCGTATTTTAATAATTCACATTCAGAATTATTCTTGAAATATTTTAGTCCTAAAAATAGCTCTGGGCTTATCTGAGTTCATTCAAAATGTGGAAACTAAAAGGTTTTGTCATAGTGCATGCTTGACAATAAAGGATTGATTTACCCATTGCAGTAATGTACTGTATTGAGAATCATGTGTTAATAGCTCTATGGCTCCTCTATCGGACAGCACTGTCATGGCAATTTGCTTGAGCATTTGATGAGATTCTTTTAGGAATGTATCTTATTGAGAATGTCCTTACGTTTTTACGTTTGCATTTATTTTTCTTTAATTATCGAATCAACATTAGGAATAATCCAATAAAAATCATGAGATTGTTTTGATGTAATGAAATACTGAAGTTGTAGAAAAATCTCGAGCATTTTTGTTAAGGAAAAAAAACGCGATCTCAGGGACCAAGCGTATAATGACATGTTTCCAACCTTAACTTCGAAGTGGGCCGCGTCGCGATGATTAAGAGATTTAACTTCCACCCGCTTAGATGTTCCGTGAGGCCCGATATGTGTGATTCTGATCGGATGCTATTGTACTATTCGTTGCCCCCACCTTTAGAGTATTAACTCGACATTAATAGCATTTTATGTATCAGTGTCCTGATATTAGCCCAGACGATCCTTGACCCGGTATGATTGCGTGTTTATCGATATTTATCTGTTCTCCGTTGAGATACGTCAAGCATAAAATTGCTGCCCTTTTGAGCTTCATAATTCGTCAAAATCAGGCAAAGACTTCGCAACACACATAAACAGAGGGGTGAACCTTGCTAGTAAGTCGTCAACTAGCCTTCCTTTACTCAGGTTGAGAGTGTTGTGCGTCAGCGCGTAATACAACTGGATTTGTTTGCACAGCATGAGTGGATGAATACTTACTTACCTTCTTCGTATTATATAGAACTCACTCCGTCCATGATCCGTTTTGCCGGTGCCTCAATGAGTTGATGCCGTTTCTTCGCCGGGTTGAAGCAAAAAAAGTAATTTCCAAAATCTTCGAATAGCTCTGCGGCGTATTTTTAGTTGTGAATTTGAATTACAAAGGTTGTAATGAAATTTTACAAAGCAATCCTCGTGAAGTCGACCGAGTCTGAATGATATTTATGTTTGAGAAACTGCATCGCCGAGTGTTTGTGAGTTTAGAACTGACGATAAGAGTTCAAAGCGCGTGCATTGTTCGGAAGACTCACGTTCTATTCTTATCTCCTTAAACTATTTCCCAGATGAAGTCATCGACTTTCTCTTCGGGAAGAATGTGAAATATTTTTATTTGTCAGCTCATATCGGTTCTAAAGTGCAGGGTTGGGCAACCCTTTTTTAATTTTTTTTTACATATAATAAGGTTCACGGATATTAAGAAAGCCGGCTTTGCGGACAATCTGGAAGCTCATGATACTGTATCTCTCATTGCTTTCACATGAGATATCACCAACCTTCGGGAACAAGCAAATTATGTTTTTGAATCTATGTTTGACTGAAGCATTGATCTTTCGATGTTTTACAGGTGCAGAATATTCTAAAAATTTTCTTTTGTTTTTTCGTAAGTGTAACGCTTATGATCCAAACTAATATAAATTCCTTCCGATTGATAATTCTGTGCCGGGTTCTGTGCAACGCTTTTGGTTCATGTTGTGAAGTTCTTGCTTTTTGAACGCTTCAGTCTGTGCATTTCCGAAAAAAGGATGTGGCTATGTTTGCCATGAACAAAAATGACGCATCATTTGGTTAAAAAAAAGTCTCTCGGAAATCAGTTTGGGCTATTCTGGACTCGTTTGAAACTGTTGCTATTTTTGGCAGGGTTGCGATGCATTTGTTTGACGATATATTGTAAATTTAACTCATAAAGAACACAGCCACTACCACGAACCCTACTTCTTCACTAGGTAAAAGCCTTGTGTCACTTAAAGCACGGAATGTTTAGCTGCACTCTAGAAGAAGCCCCCTTTTTGCTCCACGGAATGAAAGGATCTGTTGGTGTCTTTGCTCTGGAAGTTGTCGAGCAGGGCTTAACATCATGCCGAAACCGGTGAGTTTTTTTAAATATATTTGAAAAAATTTTTAAGACCTCTCAAAGGAATATTTTTCTCGTTGTCCACGACTTTCGTCCGCTTCGACATATCTTACAGATGCAGGCTTTGAGAAAGGTGGGTTTCAATGGGGAGGGAACAGCAAATAAGGGAAATAATTACAGTACTGTACATAGTTGGCCTTTTGGTATGTGTCAAACCGTTTGTATGAGTGCAAGGCAACAAAACTATAAACAAACATCTTGTTGACTTCCAATCAAGAGGCCATGGTCATCCTTTAATTGTGACAAAGAAAATTTTATGGCGTTCTATAATTTACGGATGAGGAAGAAATTCTGCTCCGGAAAACTAGCTTCAACTTTATGCATACCCAGGACATTAGCATAGTAATTTTCTGTACTGGATATGCAAATCTGGATTGTCAACCGTGCTTATGATTTTAGTTCAACTTTGTAAATGGTTTGGACAGATGTCACTGACATGTCCCACCTGCGAAGTATTCTAGTAGTGTCATAATTTTGGCTTTCTAAAACCATGTTTCCTTGATTTTGTCTTTTTCATCGTGCGAATAAGCCTTGCTATCGTACAAAGGGGCCCCAACGTACGGAACATTCGATTCAGGGACTGTTGAAACTAAAAAAAATATATGCCCCCGTACGTATGGTTGATGTCTCGAGATACAGACATTTCTAGACGAAGTGAAAAAAATCTGTTTTTGAAAATTTTAATCCGCGAAGGAATAGAGCTTTTTGTACACACGAATATTAAAAATGAAGTTCTCGTAAATGTGGTAAACCGTAATTGGTAATCCAAGTGCTTTTTTTTTTCAGACTTCTTTCTATTAACTGTGCGCAGTATGGGAAGACTTGTGCTTATTCTTTTGCTTTTTATGCTCATTTTCTTGCGAAGAGGTGAGATTATGCGTGATTTTTCTTTTGCACAGTGATTTTATAGCATAAACTCGTCACAACGAATTATTTCGTATCTTTACTAAAGCCTTCTCAAGAATATTAAAAATTATTCATTTGGGAGAAGAAATAATTACTTTAAAATTAAATAAAATTTTTTCTTTTCGATAAGAAAATATTTAAGGGAGGCCTCAGTTTATCGGGGGGTTTGCTATTATTTTTATGGCTGCAAAAATTCGTCTGAACAAAATTAAAAGATCTTCGTGGCTATTGTCAGCAATATATTCGTTCCAAAGAGATTCCATTGTATATAAAATATATACGGTACTTGAGTGCTACCAACTCGAAAATAGATTTATTCACGGACCCAGACGATCTGATTTGAGATGACTCTTATTCCTGGTTGGCAAACAAAACTCGGTCCGTTTGGGGTAGGACAATATTAAATGGAACCATTTTAGCCGAATTCGGTCGGCTGGTTTCTTAATCACGGACCCAGACGATCTGATTTGAGATGACTCTTATTCCTGGTTGGCAAACAAAACTCGGTCCGTTTGGGGTAGGACAATATTAAATGGAACCATTTTAGCCGAATTCGGTCGGCTGGTTTCTTATTTATTTTTCTCATGTATTTACTCGTTTATTATTATTATTTTTTTGGTGAACAAGTGCTCAGAAAAACGACGTCAATCAGCGTCACACACGTCATCCCAAATCCTCGCCCAACTGCGTGACTCACTCCACTCTAGTAATCCGAATCTGTCAACTTTTTTCCGCGGATGATCAGAGGAATTTCCGAATTTGAAGCAATCCTCCCAAGGAACGGACAAGAAAGCGGATCGCAAATGTCCGCCACTTCCCGCAATAAATAAAACCAGGGTAACGTTTTTTTTCTCTACATAAACGCCTTTTACCACTCGGTCGTGAAATGCTGCTTTGTATTTTTCGGGCAAAATGCCAATAAGCGAGCTGTATTTCATTGAGGCGAAAATTGTGCACTCCATTAGCACCGTACGGAGCACAAAAAAAATCCTTAATTTTCTCCGAAGAAGGTTAGCATTTGACGAGAGCAACTTTTGAACGAGCCCCATAGCTGCTCAAGAAAGTAATTTACCGATT